CCCCCCCCCCACCCACCCACCCCTCCCCTCTCGCTTCATTCTTTTTTTTTCTTTTAAATCGATTTCCCTTTGGCATCGGTCCCGATGGTTTGGTATTGTATCCGATTATTTATAGGATCGTAATCGTTGTTGTAGCGACCCCTACGACCCTCTCTGGATTCTATTGTTATGCGATACCATTACAACGTGGTGGTGGATAGTGTTAATGCCCCCCCCCCTCCCCCACTTCCCCAGTTAAAATTAAAATAAGCGCCGTTTCATAACTGGAAGGGGCTGCACGGCGCGTGCGTGATTGAGAGCGGAGTGGCGGCGCTGTGTCTGTTGTTATTGTGGGGGAGCAGGGCCCTAACAATTGCGGGGCCCTATGCCAAACGGATTGCGCGGGGCCCAGTATGGGTAGGGATAAGGCTAATAAGTGAAAATTAAGATTTTGTATTAGAACATAAAGTGAGGGGCCCACTGCGGCCGCATAGGTTGCAGTGGCCTAAGGCCGGCCCTGTGGGGGGGGGGGTAATTTTATTGATCCTCTTTGGGATGAGCTTCCACGCGGCTTATAGGTCAGTCGGGTTGTATGTTATAGGGCAAAGCCGCCAGGACATTGCCTGCTACATCTTTAGAAGTGTTATCATCGTTGACGAATAGAGAGCCGTGTTATCATTAAAACATCGATGACCACTGTCCAGTCGTGGGCTTGTGGATGTGGATATTCCAACCCATGCCAATAATAAATTCTTACTTTTCAACCCGTGATTGGTTGGTGATTGCTAGTGATTGGTTGGTGATTGCTAGTGATTGTTTGGGATTGCTAGTGATTGGTTGGTGATTGCTAGTGATTGGTTGGTGATTGCTAGTGATTGTTAGTGATTGCTAGGGATTGGTTGGTGATTGCTAGTGATTGGTAGGTGATTGCTAGTCATTGTTTGGGATTGCTAGGTGTTGGTTGGTGATTGCCAGTGATTGGTTGATGATTGCTAGTGATTGGTAGGTGATTGCTAGTGATTGGTTGATGATTGCTAGTGATTGGTTGATGATTGCTAGTGATCGGATTGGTGGTGATTACTAGTGATTGTTGGTGATTGATAGTGATTGTTGGTGATTTCGGCTAAAACCCAGGAAAGTGAGCCAAAGATCTTGTAATGATATTCTTTTTTTTTTTTATTCGGTGCCGTAGAGATTACACACAGCTGATCTCAGTCCAAGGCCAAGGTTTGAACAATGCAACCGTTACTGAAACAACCCAGCCACAACCAACACAAACTCTACCACCACCCTGCCACTGCCACCACCACCACCGTCACACAGCCTCTGCCACTACCAAAGCCAAGCACCACCACCACCGCCCACCCACTGCCACAGCCACTACCTTAACACAGCATCTACCACGACAGAGCCACTAACCACAGCATAGCGATTAACACGACAGAGCCACTGCTACGACAGAGCCACTACCACAGCACAGCCGCCACGACCACTACCGCCACTACCACGACATATCCACTACCATGACAGAGCCACCAACACCTTGCTCAAACGATCGGCGTCCTTTCACATCCCCCCTGCACGCACACGTCCCAGGGTCTGTTCCAGTTAAGACCCAAGAGTGCAGAGGCTGACCTACTTTAACTCCCTTGTACTACAACCACTTCGGCCGCTAGCATCGTTCTACTCACAGATTCCTTTGATACCCTAACGGTCGGCACTCTAGCATTAACCTGGTTTGTGCTGTGATTTTTTTGTGTGTTTTGTTTGTTGTTGATGAATGGCCCACCTTTTTCATTTGTGTGATGCAATGGCACTCGTTGTCATGGTTACACTATTTGGGATTATACTCTCAACAGAGGGTAAGTGGAATTTTTATTAAATAATATTTCTTCATTATTTTTAAGTTAAAAAAACTACCAAAAAAACAAAAAAAAAACAAAGCGAAACAAAACAATTAAATACTGCTTTAATGGACCAGTTTGTTTTTCATTCTCTCTTTTGGCGTATTCAAAATGGGCTTGAATGAAACTTACAAATCGATGTTTGCTGTTGGCACAATCACAAACAAATGGAAGGTGGCCATGAGAGTGGATCCCTGACAGTGGGTCCCTGAGAGGGGGTCCCTGAGGGTGGGTCCTTAAGAGTTGGGTCCTGAGAGTGCGGCCCTGAGAGTTGGGTCCTGAGAGTGGGGCCCTGAAAGTTGGGTCACGAGAGTGGGGCCCCGAGAGTGGGAAAATTAGCCAACAATAAACAGCGGTCATTAAACAAAACAAAAACTTAATTCTAAACTGAAGGGAGGGAGGTGTGCTGAGGTGGAAGGGTGCTGAGGTGGAAGGGTGCTGAGGTGGAAGGGTGCTGAGGTGGAAGGGTGCTTAGGTGGAAGGGGTGCTGAGGTGGAAGGGTGCTGAGGTGGAAGGGTGCTGGGGTGGAAGGGGTGCTGGGGTGGAAGGGTGCTGAGGTGGAAGGGTGCTGAGGTGGAAGGGTGCTGAGGTGGAAGGGTGCTGAGGTGGAAGGGGTGTTGAGGTGGAAGGCGGAAAAGAGAAGCCTAAACAGAGCCGTTCTTAGGAGTTTTGAGGCCCTAAGCATGGAGCGTAGGTTGGGGGCCCCGGAAGTGGCGTCCGGGGGTGGAGCTCCCTCGAGCTGAGGAGAAAACACCACCCACCACTACTGCGGCACCTCCATTCTGCCTTCATCAATGTTTCCTCTTTGCTCGCGTGTAACCACTAATCATATCGATAATTCCGCCACTAGAGAAGATTTGGACTTCTGAAATATATGGACATGCAGGTGGTAGTGGGGCCCGAATTCAACTCAGAATAATAAATTTCAGGATGAGGAAGGAAACGTGAGTGACATAGACGGCTGCAGTGGCAGTTAAAAAAAAACCGGGGGATCGAGGGCGCCTCACCAGGGGGGGGGGGGTTAGGGGCCCCCACGTTCGGGGCCCTACGCGGATGCGTAGTCAGCGTATGCCTAAGAACGGGCCCGGCCTAAAAATGACNCGGCTGCAGTGGCAGTTAAAAAAAAACCGGGGGATCGAGGGCGCCTCACCAGGGGGGGGGGGGTTAGGGGCCCTCACGTTCGGGGCCCTACGCGGATGCGTAGTCAGCGTATGCCTAAGAACGGGCCTGGCCTAAAAATGACGACTCGGCACACCCTGTCCAGAAACATACCAACGCCTAATACAACGGCTATGACTCCACCACCCGGGGCCGCCCCTACGGTTGGTTGATGGCGCCCGGGGCCGCCCCTACGGTTGGTTGATGGCGCCCGGGGCCGGCCCTACGGTTGGTTGATGGCGCCCGGGGCCGGCCCTACGGTTGGTTGATGGCGCCCGGGGCTGGCCCTACGGTTGGTTGATGGCGCCCGGGGCCGGCCCTATGGTTGGTTGATGGCGCCAGGGGCCGCCCCTACGGTTAGTTGATGGCGCCCGGGGCCGGCCCTATGGTTGGTTGATGGCGCCAGGGTCGGCCCTACGGTTGGTTGATGACGCCCCGGGCCCGGCCTAACGTTCTTATGATCATAAACATTTGTGTAAGGGAATAAAACTAGGGGTTAGGCAATGAGCTTGTTACCTAGGTTGATGTTTTTAACAAACAATGAACGATAATATGGTTTTTCTTAACTTGTAATTTGGACGGTATGAACAATCAGCCAAGAGATGACTCTCCCCCCCCCCCCCCGCCCTTAGATCAGCAAATCTTTTTACTGCACTTTCTATTTTTCCTCCATGGCGCCCACATGCAATGCCTTTTTATATTTTGGAAGAACGCTGATGGAGCCCTAAGCACAGCCGCGCCCCGGGAAACCGCTCAGGTTGCCGTTTACGTTTAGCCGCCACTGACTCCACCCTGGATATTAGATTATGAATCCACCATGGTTGTGAGTTTATGACTCCACCATAGATATCAGATTATGAATCCACCATAGATGTGAGTTTATGAATCCACAATGGATTTGAGTTTATGACTCAACCATGGATATGAGATTATGAATCCACAGTGGATGTGAGATTATGAATCCACCATGGATATGAGATTATGAATCCACCATGGAGGTGAGTTTATGAATCCACAATGAATGGGAGTTTATGAATCCATCATGGATGTGAAATTATGAATCAACCATGGATATGAGATCACGAATCTACCATGGATGTGAGATTATGAATCCACCATGGATATGAGATTATGAATCAACGATTGATATGAGATTATGAATCCACCATGGATATGAGATCATGAATCCACAATGGATCCACAATGGATACGAGATTATGAATCCACCATGGATGTAACATCACCATGAACATGACGCCCACATGGATATGACTCCACCGTGTATGTGCCTCCAGACACTGCCATATAATGATGTAAATAACCAATGTAGACCTACGGAAATGGTCCAGATTTAAGTGGTCCAAATTCACACGTTAATCGGTACGACCGTACCCATCTGAAACGTAATTGGAATCCCTGGAGTTAAAAGATTTTCTCTCGCCGATGCATGGTTATTTAAACACAACTGACAAGCTCTTTAAACACAAAAATTAACCAATTCCCATTTCACCCTCTCAACAGCCAGCCCTTGTGATGGTACGCCAGAAAGAATCGGAGTAAGCTTCACGCCGAACAAGCTGTTCTCTCCTAACTACCCTGAACCGTACACCAAGTAAGCATAAAAACATAGGATCGGACCGGGTGGGGGTTAGTACATAACTTTGGAGACTGCATCATGTAAGAACAAAAGCAAAGTCAGGCTTGGACACTGCATCACGTAAGTGTAAAAACGTTGACACGTTACGACAAGGCTTATATTGTAGTGGGAAACACAAGTGGATTCACATTCTTTGACTGTATATAATGCACCCACGCCCCCTTTTTAATACTCTGAGATCACATATCAAGCCACAAATCGGGCCATATATCAGACCACATATCAGGCTCCATATCAGATCACGTATCAGATCACATATTATCAGGCCACGTATCAGACCACAAATCAGACCACGTATCAGGCCACATATCAGACCACATATCAGACCACGTATCAGACCACGTATCAGGCCACGTATCAGGCCACATATCAGACCACAGATCAGACCACGTATCAGGCCACGTATCAGACCACATATCAGACCACAGATCAGACCACGTATCAGGCCACATATCAGACCACATATCAGACCACGTATCAGACCACGTATCAGGCCACGTATCAGGCCGCATATCAGACCACATATCAGACCACATATCAGACCACAGATCAGACCACGTATCAGACCACGTATCAGACCACGTATCAGGCCACGTATCAGGCCACATATCAGACCACATATCAGACCACATATCAGACCACAGATCAGACCACGTATCAGATCACGTATCAGACCACATATCAGACCACGTATCAGGCCACGTATCAGGCCACATATCAGACCACATATCAGACCACATATCAGGCCACATATCAGACCACAGATCAGACCACAGATCAGACCACGTATCAGATCACGTATCAGGCCACGTATCAGGCCACATATCAGACCACATATCAGACCACAGATCAGGCCACAGATCAGACCACGTATCAGACCACGTATCAGGCCACATATCAGACCACATATCAGACCACATATCAGACCACATATCAGACCACATATCAGACCACGTATCAGGCCACATATCAGACCACATATCAGACCACATATCAGACCACATATCAGACCACATATCAGACCACATATCAGACCACATATCAGACCACGTATCAGACCACGTATCAGACCACGTATCAGACCACGTATCAGACCACATATCAGGCCACGTATCAGGCCACGTATCAGGCCACATATCAGACCACGTATCAGACCACGTATCAGACCACGTATCAGACCACGTATCAGGCCACAGATCAGACCACGTATCAGACCACGTATCAGACCACATATCAGACCACATATCAGACCACATATCAGACCACATATCAGACCACATATCAGACCACATATCAGACCACTTATCAGGCCACATATCAGACCACAGATCAGACCACGTATCAGATCACGTATCAGACCACATATCAGACCACATATCAGACCACATATCAGACCACATATCAGGCCACATATCAGGCCACATATCAGACCACATATCAGACCACATATCAGACCACAGTTCAGACAACGTATCACTTTACATCCGTTGTACATTTTCTATACGCTCTATGCATTTCATCCTTTTTTTCACTGTAGCATATTTTGACTTTGACAAACCAACTCATTTTCACCAGCAACGTGACATGTGAATGGGTGCTAGAGGCTACAGGATCTGACAGCCAACAGTTCGTCATACAGGTCGCTACACTTGAAGTAGATTTTGAAGAATCGTTTGCCCAAAGGTCAAAATGTGCCGACTACTTGGAGGCCTTTCAAGGTTAACATTTCATTACATCATTTTCAAAATAAAATGTACAAGTCAAAGTCAAACGACAAAAAAAACAAAAAACAAAAACAAAACAGCAAACAACTAAATGATTGTGCCACAAAAATGGTTACACATAGAGATAGCAAAAATGAAAAAAAAATTTATGACAAAAGATGAAATGAAATTTAATTTTGAGTGCTTGAAACATTAATATTATAAAATATTATTATATTATTATATGGCTAATGAAAAAATTCATGTTGAGTTTTGATAAAATGAGGTAATAAGCATTTCCTATCCGATCCTTTAATAATAACATTATACTATACAATATTAAATATTGTAATAAATTTTATTAATCAAACATTTTTTCCAATTTGTTGAACACAATTGGAAGGTGTACTTAGTGTACTTAGTATGTATTTTGTAGTAAATGTTGTCTGAATTTCTAGGTTTTCCTGGGAACCTTGGTGAAAGTTCGGGTGTCTGGTGCCAAGGACAGAAGGTGGTTAAGGCAACAGGTCGCTTTTTAACACTAAGGTAGTTATGACGCACCCATGCACTCACTGGCATCTTATTTGTATTAACAAGCCATTTGAGTAAACTTTTAATCCTAATACAGCGGTTCTTAACCTGTGGGTCGCGAGTCACAACCCATTTGGGGGTCGAACCCCTCTTTCCCAGGATTCGTCTAAGACTAAGATCATCGGAAAACACATTAAATTATCGTGCGGCATTAGGAAGGTTGAGAACCACTGCTTTAATATCTTGATTAAATAACGAATGAAGATGGAAATATTTGCTCTACTTCATAGCTGGAAAAGTAATTTTATCTAAATGCTCAAGAGTTGCCTATTTCAGAGTCTGAGTCAGGGTGGAGAAATATTTTCAGCTTAAATTTTTTTGATCAGGATGAGATTGCTTCACTAGCTCTTACTCTTAACATGATAAAACTTACGAAAAGGTTAAACAATTTACAGCTTAATATATATATATACATATTTATTTTTTTTTAAAGGTTTGTTGCTAATGAACACTATGCAGGAAAAGGTTTCATTCTGGAATATTCTCTTGTCAAGTCAGGTAAGCTTTTTATTAAAGAAAATATTTACTCATATCATTTTTGCAAGTGAAGAAATATTTTATGTATCATTCATTGCTTCTAAGATGGTCTACTTATCCTAATGTAGGCCTTTATTATGTTACCAAATAAATTGTACCTTTTATTTTCTTACGTTAAGTTTTATCAAAGAAGTCCACACCATTTAGCCATACCATGTAGCCCACACCACGATTCCAATACCATGTAGCCCACACCATGTAGCCCACACCGTGTTCCAACACCATGTAATCCACACCATGTATCCCACACCATGTAATCCACACCATGTATCCCACACCATATAGCCCACACCATGTAGCCCACACCATGAAGCCCACACCATGTAGCCCACATCCTGTATCCCACACCATGTAATCCACACCATGTATCCCACACCATGTAATCCACACCATGTATCCCACACCATATAGCCCACACCATGTAGTCCACACCATGTATCCCACACCATGTATCCCACACCATGTATCCCACACCATGTAGCCGACATCCTGTAGCCCACACCATGTAGCCCACACCATGTAGCCCACATCCTGTATCCCACACCATGTAGCCCACACCATGTATCCCACACCATGTAGCCTACTTAAAATCTTATTTTTAAAACTGGATTTCACATTTCACTCAATTTGTGTTACAATTTTTTTTTTTTTTTGCTGATATTAAGCCATATTATATTCAAGAAATAAATCCTATTACAGCGTCATCAGAATGCATGCCAGGAAGGGTAACTCCTGTTTATGCCGGTCAAAATCCACTATACGAGCAGTTTTCTGTAATAGCATCCAATAAAAGGTGAACACATTTTTAGAGCTCGTATACATCCCCCACCCGCCCATCCAACCCACTTTTTAAAAAAAAAAAAGATGTTATCTTTCTCACTATGCTAATAACAAATTATGTTTTCCCCTTTGACTTGTGACAAGAAATTTTCGTCTGAGTTTTGTATTAATTTTTCTTAAAAACAGTTGCACATGGGTGATCGAAGCCATAGATAACTCTGGCCGTAAGGACCTGACCTCAGCCCTTGTCATAGATGTGTACAATATCCCTACAGTTTCGTGTAGCTATGGCAAGTTTTTAATCTATGATGGTAAGTAAGTGCGACTATTCATGAATTCGAAACAATTTGACAAAAAATAGTAATAAAATGATAAATTTAAGATCAGTTGCTTTTTTTCATTCTGTTAACCCTCTATTACGCAATTTTAGTTTTTTATGGAAAAAATTTTTTTGATGGCATACTTCATAGTTATTGGACTTAAATAAACATAATATGCAAGAAAAATAATTTTTTAAAATGAAATAATGATTTTATTGGTATGTTGCCATATGGCAACAGTGCGTCTTAAAGGTCAGAAAAGTAAAACTGAACAAGAAAAGGAAACGATAACAATAATATTTGTAAAAGGTGAATATTTAATCGTTTACACAAACAATGGTTCTCAGTACTTAGTTTACAAGCATATCTTCATATTATGCTTTTATATCATGAAAAAGATCATTATAAAAATCATATTTTATAAGCATTTTTTACACAAAAATATAGAAAATCATGTAATCAATATATAGAGCATATAGAGGGACAGTAAATATTTATATACATATGTGAAATGCAGGTTTAATGCTGGTGGAACTGTTTGAAGCAATGTCAACTTTACATTATGCACATTTTATTCTTGAAAATTCTTTTCAACCTGGTCTCTTGCATCTTCCTTTGTTTTCAAGTGGCTCAGGAAAGTGCCAAATATAATCAGCTCTTACTGGTAAGGGTGGAAAAGCTGCAATAGGACCACTCAAATTTTTAGCTGTAAGTTGAGGCTCTATATCCAATAAAGGACTGCCAAGTTTCCTAAACCCTGCTTTACCTTCTTTCATTAGGCATATGGCCATCTTGGTGTTGAAATCAAGTACACCGAGGATATTTTTTGTCGCGATTCGCATTAGTACAATCAGCCTATAGATCAGCCATGCCAGCACAACTGCCATACTGGTATCCAGAAAGTGGAATATTATACAGTGATACTATTTTTTGGACCTTACTGGTATCCTGTATACGGCCAACAGTGAAGCGAGAAGATCCACACCACCCATGAATTTATTGTAAACCATGATTACCGATGGACAAGTTACCTAGATTTCCCTTTTAGCTTTTTGTCCCATCTTTTGACCCGTTTCATGGGCTCAATAGCAGCAAATGTACTGAGTGTGGTTACCGCTCTATTGTCAACCCATTTGACTGGAAACAGATCAACACCGTCATGGTGGCAGGTTTTCAGAATTGCGGAGCCCCTTCCATTTCTTGCCAAGTCCTTATCTGAAGGCATTATGCAATTTTTAAGCCTATTAGACCTTACAGTGCCAATAGCTGCATGTCAGCTTCATCTCTGTGGTGTCAAAGCAAATTTCTTGCAAATAGTTTTGCCCGTGGTTGGATTGCAGTGTCTAAAGAATTACCAGGTGTGTCGTTAGTTTCACAGTCTGAGTCTGATATGGTTGAAGCTGAAAAGGGAAATTTTAAATATTATTTTTCAGTGTTTACTTTAACTTTTGGCTTGAATGTTATATAATTGTTTTTTTTTTAAATATTAGAGATTAAATGCAATTTAAAAAAGTATATGAAAACATACTTGTTGTGTTCTTGAGTCAAAGTTTCATCTATGTCATCATCGCGTGAAGATAGCTCGGAGTCCTCAGGAATAGAAGGAATATCCACATTTTTATTTTTTCCATAAAAGCATGATGGTTCCATGACTGCTTTGATGTTTGGATATTTGAATTCTAGAAGAAAAAAACATTATAGGAAACTAATAATTCCACACAAAAAATAACTTACAATATAGACTTATATCTTGTATAGTATCTATTCATTTTTTTTTTATAAAAAGAATTGTAACATTAATTTAAAACCTGTTAATTTGATCAAAATATAAAAGGATAACATTAATATTAGATATGTATAGATATTTCATAAAAAAAATATTATTCAGATAGCTTATAATAAATAAACTGATTATATATTGTATGTTGCCATTTGGCAACAAAAAAATAAACACAAAAAATTAACCACATCGACGCACTGTTGCCAATTGGCAACATACCATTTTTTTCGTATGTCATCCACCTATGATGACAAATATCAAACATAAGCTCATTTAATATCAGTTCAAACATTAAATTTAACATTCTTTATTTTTTATAACAGGAATTATCATTATGTGATATAAAAAAACAGCTTGTACTTACTGGATTCGGCGGAAAAAATTGTAGTCAACTGTGACCGTCTAAAATGTGTTCTTACATAAAAACTGCAAAGCGAAAGTGAAGAGTTCTTCAGGATAAAAGTTTGAAACCTCATAATTGAAAAGGGGAACCACTCCAACAAATTAAAAATTGGGCTTGCAGTACTAGCACTAGCAGTAGTGTAATTTCGCTTTGTTGCCAAATGGCAACATTGCGTAATAGAGGGTTAAAAAAATTTTATAAATTTTATACTGTTATTTGAATTTCTAGTGTACTACTGGACACGGAAAATGAAAGACCTATTCTTATGACATTTTATTATTTTTTTTTAATGTGTATGCCTAATTTTAGAGACTACCACTTGTCTCCCATTTGCTTTGCTCTGACATTGACGCCCCAAAGTAAATGTGCTATGCCATTTCTTACCCACCCTTCCTTGATTGGGGAAAGGTTGTTTATGTTTGAATGCCTTATTTGTTATAAAGAATGCTATCATATGATGCAGTTTCTAAAATTTCTTTACTAGATAGTTCTGATTTAATCCATATATATATATATATATATATATATATATCCTAACAGCTTTCCTGGCCGAGAAAGAGTTTTTTGTTATATTTTCTATAAGTGCAAGATTTTACTCGTTAAGTGTGTGTAGAACTTAATATTTGTATTTTTAGAGGATTTTACCTTTTCACTAGCAGTAATTTGGTATAATACTTTATTTCTGTATAACTGAATTTGTTTATTTATATAAATTTAATAGCACAATTAAATTAAAAATATTTAGTATCACTGGCACTACCTTTGGTATCCTTTTTCTTTGTACAAAAAGTAAGCATAAAAATCCTGCAGGTATTTATTTATATATTTTTTTGCAGCTCCTTAAATCCTTTCAATGTTTTTTGTAATGTTAAAATGTATTTTTTTTTTTGCAAATCAAATAATTTTAAAACTCGGTATAAATAATTTATTTATTCAGAAACACTTACTTCTACATGTGTCAGGTCCAGATGCTCTGAGTCCTCTCATCCTTGACTGGTGTGGTGACAACAGTTTTTTCTCTCAAATCTATACATCCTCCAGCTATGCTACTCTGACATTTATGGTAGAAAAACCAGCAGAGCATACGATTCAACTAAAGATATACTCCAGGGAGACTAAGTGTAAGAATTGTGTGACAA